GGATAACTACGGCTTTGTCACCTATCGCTATGCTGAGGAGGCCTTTGCTGCCATTGAGAGCGGGCACAAGCTGCGACGTCCGGATGAGCAGCCCTTTGATCTGTGCTTTGGTGGCCGCCGGCAGTTCTGCAGGAGGAACTATGCTGACCTGGGTGAGTTGCACCCTGGATCCCTTCCTTCCCACGTGCATTCAGTGGGTGGTTGGATCCCCCTTCCCCCCCTGCATTCTCTCCCAGCCCAGCACCGATTTTAGATGTGGCTCAGGGCAGGCTCTCCCCATATCTTTCAGACTCCAACCGAGAGGATTTCGATCCAGCCCCTGTGAAGAGCAAGTTCGACTCGCTGGACTTCGACACGCTGCTGCGGCAGGCACAGCGCAGCCTGCGGAGGTAGCAGCAAGCACGGCGGAGCGCCCGCCCCTGCTTTTATACTCAAATACAAAAGACAAAAAAAGTGTGGAGAGAAAGATGAGGTTTTTAAGAAAAAGAAAAAGGAAAAAAATTTGTTTTATAACCAGTATTTAAGGAGGACGGGCAGTTTCCCATCAATTGGAAGGGCCTAGGTGAGTGGCAGCCTCGGGCTTGCCGAGCCATGTAATAAATGTGGATGCCCAAACCCAGCTCTGCCTTGTCTCCTCCTTGGTGTGGCCCCTTGAGTGCTCAAGGTGGGCAGGAGGCTCCTTGGGTCTGGCCCTGGGACAGGGAAGGGTATAGATACCTTTTAACACCGTGCACTCCTTGGGTTTGGGATGTCTGGGAAGTGGGGCAGGATGGGGGCCGAGGCACTCCAGTCCCTGTGTTAGCCCCTAAATGGCCTAACGGGGTGAACAAGTTCTGTGTCTCGGTCTCTGGCTATCTGTAGGTTTTGGGGCCACGTGCACCTCCCGTGGTGGCCACGCAGGGGCAGTACAAGATCCCCATCCACAGCTGCTCCGATGGGATATGGGGGCTGCAGCCCTCCACTGTGGCAGCAGCACAGGGGACCACGTGTGCAAGGGTGGTAGTGTGTCCCTTTCCAGACTGCTGCTTGGTTGTGCTCCCGTTCACTGGAAGAGGGGTTTGACACCTTGTCCCTTGAAGTAGAGGCTGCGACTGAAGAGAGGCTGCAGCCACCTGCACCCTACAGGGGATGGGGCTGATGGGCAGAGCACAAGATCACAAGATCCACCACTGCGTGCATGGGCCTCTGGGAAGTGCAGTGATTTTGGAGAGGCAAAGCCTTGCTTCTGTCTGCATCCTGGGTGGCATGAGCCCTGACTTAGCTCTGGGCAGGCGTCCTCCTGGTACCCCAAGTATGTGAAGTGAGGCTCTGACGTGGTCTCCCACCCTGCCTGGCCCCGGACTTTGTCCAGGAAAGAAATTGAGGAGGTGGCTGCATGCAATGGGATGTCAATGGGAATGCAGCGCTACAGAGCCCTTGGTTGGGCCTTTGCACCCTGCTGAGTGAGGTGCTCTGTGGACACAACTAGATGTGTGTAGCAGAGCCTTATGTGCTAGTGGCCAGGAGGGAATTGGCCCCCATGGTTGCCGGGCATTCAGGCAGCCCCATGAGCACAGCATCACCGTGCATGTACATCTCTGGGCTGCATGTGGTCCCCTCTCCTTGCTCCTGTGGCTGAGGGAAAGCAGTGGGTGTGAAAGCGTTTGTGTTGCCAAAAGAATTAACACCCTGCTGTTGCGCCCTATAAATCTTTCAAGTGCTGGAGGCTGGCTTTATCCTCCTGTGTTGCAGTTTAATGGTTTCCGTTCGCAGTAACCTGGCCTTGTGTTCTGGGGTTATTGATTTAAAGTCTGTTGTGGAGGCTGTGAGAGCTGCAGAAAGGTGTTTTCCTGTCGCCCAGCTGGTGGCAAAGGCTCCTCAGACAAGGTTATTTGGGGCCTTGGGGGGGGGAGGGGTGTGTTGCCCAGGACCAAGTACCCACATCACCATGGGGGTGGGCAAGCTTGATAGGACCTGACTTGTGATGCTCAGCCTGAAAACACAGACACCAACCACACTGTGCAGAGCCCCTCATGGTCTCAATGGTTTCCTCCTCTAGGATCCCAGCCCTTGGGGTTCAGGCCGACTCCACTCCTCCAAGCTCAGAGGTCCCCTTGAGAACTGGGAGGGATGCTCATCCTGTTCTAAGGCTCCAGCATCTCTGCTGTCCTACACCACTCGCCCCAAATCTCCCCCTGGCCCTGGTGGACAGCCAGGAGTTGTGTGTGCTTTAAATCTGTGCAGCTGAGAGGTTCATTTCCATGCTCCCTCCTACAGCTGCTTTGCAGACACCTCGTGTCCTTTTGCTCACATTGGGATATTCTTCCAGGGCCATCCCATAAGCAATTGTGTGTAAGGATGCAATGGATGTGTTGTAGGTGCCTCTAAATTGAATGTCTGCTCCAGCCAGTAACCAGGTATTGCTAATGCTTCTTGAGTCCTCCTATAGAAAAGTCTGCAGCTGTAATGTCCCAGGAAGCAAGTGGCCATCAGATCTACTGTCTGGTGGTAGCAAGGAATTTGTGAGAAAAATGGCATAGGATGTAGGAAATAGTCCCAGATTTGGAGAAGTATCAAAAAAAGAAGAAAAAAGGAAAACTCACAGAAAATGTAACTGCTGGTGTTTTTTTTTGTTTTGTTTTGTTTTTTTTGTGCTAAGCCTTATGTGAGCAGACCTCTGGGAAGGTAATGCTGGGAGCACTGGGGCATGAGGTCCAGCACTGGTCTCTAGTGCTTCAGAAGAAGGAAGGAATACCTCAGCACTCTTATAAGCTAGTTAAGAAGGAAATGATTATTTATCTTCACATAGACCAGCAGAAGCCTGGAGGCCTGGGGCTGAAGCAGCACCTCCTTCAGGACACCTGGCCAGCCAGGAGCTGCAGCACGGTCTGTGTGCCTGTCAGCTGGGGCTGGTCTGTCTCAGTATCCATGCAGCTCACAGCCTTTGTGTGCAGTGGAGCTCATCCTTTCTGGATGCGGAGCTGCAAGGATATTCTGGAAGAAGTCTCCTAAAGCCTCACGCAGTGACGGTGATGTTTCTGTCTCTGCTAAAAATAACTTGTCTGATGCATCTGAGCATCACGCCATTCCTTTTTCACAGGAGAACCACACTGCTGTTTTGCATTTATCCTGCAGTATTTCCATTTCCTCAGTTTCCAGCAAACGTCCTCCCTCATTGATATTTTGCTGAGTTTTGCTCCCCGTGTCCCCACTGAGTGACGGTAAAACGTATTGCTGGGCTCTGACCATGGCTGGTTCCCCTCCCCAGCATGCTCTGTGTGTTGCTGGATGCCCACTCCTCTCTGCAGGGCTCCCAGGGCAACATTACTGCTTGCTAAAACCACAGCTGAAATAACGTTATGTTTCACTTTGTGGTAAATCGATAAGGAAATTCGCCTTCTCTTTTGTTGGATACCTGAGCCCTGCCATTCTGCTGCTGTTTATTGCCTGGCATTCACTGGGAAATTAAAGGCTCCTATAATTGCACAATTTCTGCTCTGTATTCTTCTTGTAGCCTTAGAGACAGCACAGCGTATGCTCACGGCCGTGCCTGGTATGCAGCCGGCCCCAGAACAGCCAGCCAGGGCCCTTCTGCTGCCCTTTCTCTGGACACAACCATGCTATGGTGTCTCTAGTTTAACCTGAGAAGATGCTGCTTAGGTGACAACGGAGCCATAGGCTGCTGGGACAAAGGGCTTAGCGCCTCCCGGCATAACGCTGGGGAGGCCATGAGCCCATGGGAAAATGCCACGTGGGGTGAACTGAGTGTGGCTGGAAGGCTCACTCAGGAGGTGAGCTGAGAGGTTGTGAAATCGTGATCTTATCGGTGCTTGGGGACAGGCTGCGTTCCCAGGTGAGCACTGGGAACTGCATCTTTAAACAGCTTATTTTTAGAGACGGGAAGCGTGTGGAGAAGCGGCGAAAAACGCACTCGCGCTGTTACCTGGAGACAGCTGGGGCTTGTCCTGAAGAACAGAGCCCTGCCAAGCACCTGGGGGCAAAGGGATTCCTACATGGCACTTGTTTGCTGTGACAAGGTTGCACAGGCTTAAAAAAGCAAGGGTAGCAGCTCAGGCCACGCAGCTTGAGAGAGTGTGTGCTTGGCAGTGTGAGTCAGACACCCTGAGAAGCGTGACGCCTGCAGCCCATCTCAGGTCTCCTGAGGTGCACGCAGCACACACGTGGTGCTGTGCACTGAAGATGCGTGGACCAGATGAGGTCTGTCTGTGGAACCTCGGGACACAGCCCTGCACTGGGACATGGAGTGTGCATTTCTAATGCCTCTGGTTGAGTTTAGTAGGGTGAACACACTTGGCTGGTTAAAAATACGAGTTAAGTGTATGATAGATAGGATCATTGGGACAATGCACAGTAAATGCATGAGGAACTTGCTCAGGCTGTGCTTGAGCTTCTTAGGCTTTGAAGCCTGGCTGTGGGGCAGCCAGACCACTTTGGTCCATTTTCACAAGTGAGCACGGTGCTGCCGACTATCTCATGTGACTAAAGGGACCTGCAGGATGTGTCTGGCTGTGAACTGTAGCTGCCACCAGGGGACAATGAATAAGTCAGCGTCCTTCAGGTGCTGCTGGAGTCAGACTCTAAAGAAGGCAGTGCTATTAATGGCCTGGATCAAAGGAGTAGGTCAGAGCGGGACAGGATCTCTGGAGCACCAGTAGCAACTGGGGGAAGGGGTGACAGCAGCCAGCAACTCTTGCTGCTATGGACAGCTGCTCCCTTAATCCCCATCTCTATCAACATCTCTAAACATCTCCGTGCAGGAGCAAGGTTGCTGAAGCAGGGCTCGGTTTTGTCTTTGCTCACTCTCTCTTGTACTGCTTTGGCTAGCAGCTAATTCCTAATTGTAGGCTCTGGAGAAGTTGCCTCTCTTGGCTGTCCCTCAGAATTTGCTGTTGGGCCCCCTGTTCCCTTAGCCTTCCTCCTGCTGCATAAAACATGTTTCTATTAGCAATCATCTTGTTCTTAGCAAGCTGCAGTTCGAAAATGATTTTGGCTGGCCTAAATGTGTGGCGGGTTTTTTATTTAACTTGCCAGAATTTGGGATTTTCTCTGCTTAATCTTTGGCCACAACTTACACTTGTTGAAGGATGTCTTTTTTACTTCAGAATGCCTTCTTCATCAGCTGTGCATCTGTGCCATATTTGGAGATAATTCTTTGTTAGCATGTTTTGACTGATGGCATATTTGAAGCTTTAAACACAGGGTCTCGGTGTCACTCACAAGCATTTTGTCCTTTCATCAGCTACTTTAAAATCCTTTTATTTCCCAAATTTTCTACTTGCTGCCTTCTGAGGGAGAATGCACCCATCTCCTTTATTCCAGTTGCATCGCACTGCGTAGCACTTTTATTCTCGCTTTTCCTCCGGGCAGTGATGAATTTGAGCACATTGTATTTGCTATGACAGAGTTACTGTTCACTCTTACATTTCTAACTGCCTCCCATGCACTGCCCATGACTAACTCAAGAGTTTATTCTCTACTTGGTGCCTCTGAGAGGTCGTTCTAAGAACCATTCAAGGCTAAAAATACAGTCTTTGCATCATTCTTTGACATGGTACCCACCCAGTCTATTGGGGTAATTCATGTCTCCCATTATGATTGTGCTTTCTCCACTGACAACTGCCCTGAGTCCTCCAACTGTTTTTCACTCCACTGTCCTAATCAGGTGCTCAGCAGTATGTACTCAGTGTTCGATGCATTTCAGTGAGCATATTCCTCTGGTAGTCTAAACAAAATAAAGAGACTTCCAGCTGAGAGACCTCCCTCATCTTTGGTGATGGAAACAAGCATTTTATGATCACTACCAGTTAAGGTCAGCTCACCGTGTACAAAAACGGACAGTTTTCCATATGCGTTCTGGAATCCTTGTCAGGTTGAAGGCTATGGTACTCTTTCCCTATTTTCCCCCATCTCTATTCAGAGGCTGGCACTTAATTTGCTGGTTTTCACTTCTCGATGACCAAGACTGGCTTAAGTAGCAGATTGCACACAGCATTAAATAATGCAATGATTTCATATCTGGATTGATTTGCAGTTCTTGCGTACTGGACACAGCCCCAGCAACAGCTTAAGGAGAACGGACCTTCTTAGCCCCATCCTTTGCTTTGCTAACAGTACTTGCAAAATGCTTTAGGTGCACATAGCACAGAAAAATACGTCGTGTTTGGCTTTTAGGAGCATCTGTGTGTAAATTAAGGGTTTTATCTACTATTCTCCAGTTGCTCCACCTGCTTATTTATTTATTTATTTATTTGCTCATTTAGTTTGCTTGTTTCCAAACCCATTCTGAGATGTTTGGAGGTACAGCCTTAGACAGCCTCTGCTTACAAAGGAACCACCTCGGGCAGCATTTGCTGCAGGCAGCTGGGCGCTTCCAGCTCTGTTCTAGTTTCAAGTGAAGGTTCCCATATCCCCTCCAAACAGTGACAAGCTGACTTTGCTACACCTTATGAGTTCAGAGGAATCAGTTCTAAGTGCACCTTGCTACATCTGCCCCTCCTTTTGTTACAAAGGCGACCTTTTCTAGTCTGACTGTTCAACCCGCCGGATTGCCTGTTTCTTCAATGGGGATAAACGCCTCTCTGAAACCTCAGCCCACCCTCCAAATCCATTCTTTTTTATTTACACAAACATTACAGTTACTGGTGGCACATTGTCTTGTGCACTGAAATCCATCCTAAACTCAACAGAGATCCCCTTTATACTTTCCAGATAGCATTCTGCCCTTCTCCATGCATCTGCTTCAACGTGGGACAAGAAACTCTGGAACAGGGGTCTTGTTGCTGCTTTATCCACCCCATGGTGGTTCACAGACTCCCGCACAATAGTGTATACCACAGCATTTCCCTTCTCACCTGTGCCTGTGGATTGCAGCACGTGTCGCACCGTGCTTTCCTCTCATCAGCCAGTTTCCTCTCCTTTGCCATGCTGGCTTTTGGGTTGTATCCACAGTGCAAAGCATGGCCCACAACTCTGCTGGGATGGGAGGACTTTTGGGAGTGAATTTTGCCGTTTAGCTGAATGCCTTGTCAAAGGTTAGTTTATCTTCTCAAAGTCTCTCCAAGCTGCCATGTTCTCCCTTTGGCCCAGTCACAGCCTGCTGTATGATTCCACATTTCTTTTTATTTCTTTATTTATTTGTTCCAAGCGAAAGGAAAAAAAACACCTTGTGACACTTCATTTAAGCGTAGGATAAAGTACACACATTTGCGTGAGATCCTCCCTGGAATAGTGTTAGAACAAGCATTCAGTCCTGGCTTGCATTATTTTACCTCTGTAATCTCAAGTTTGCTGCAGGGAACTATCCTGTCCTGGCGAGAAAACTGAGAAGACAGTATCTCTCTCGTGTTCCTATAAATCATTTAACAAAGGCAATATATTGGAGCTAAGCCAAGTTCCTCAGAATAAGGCATGTTTCTGCTTAACCTTCAGTGAGGTCTCATTTGTTGCTCTACTTGACAAGGCATAGCCTGCATTTGGTTCTGCTTGGCCGGGGGCTCCCCAGAGGACTAGGATGCTCGCTCTTTCAGTCGAAGCCTCATAGTGTGTGGTTCGAAGCAGAGCTTGCCTGATGTATTAAATACACTTTGCTGATGACTTGTAGTGGATTACAAGCTTGAATTTGTGGCGTTGTTTTTTTTCTTTTCTTCACTTGCTTTTGTTCCCACTTGGGATTCACTGTCTCCTGAGAGGCTCCTCCTGAGACTGTGGTACCCACTGGGTGTCCACTAAGGTACGAGGACTGTTCAAGAATGCCTGTGCAAGTCCTGCTTCACTGCAGCTGGCCTGTATTGCTCAGATGTGCTGATGGAGAAGGTGCTGCCCTCAGTGCAGGATTGCTGCAAGCCACACAGGAGGCAGACTCTTGCAAACCAGCAATTTGTAGTCCATCCCCTTCTCACATTTCTGCGTACTCAGACCTGAGAGGCAGGCTTTTTATAGGGGGGGTTGAATCCTATTTCCACTGAATCCCATAATTGCAATGCTGTTTCATGGGGCCATTTTTTTTTCCCTGCTTCTTCCTGGCCTCTGGTACCTCTGCGGCCATAACAATACCAGGTGTGGTGCATAGCTTATAGGGGGAGAAGACAAATTTCGGCTCTAATGCCTTCTTGTGTATTTTCTGTTCCTATGGCAGAACGGATGTTGGAGAGACTTGCTGTAGCATCTGCCTTGAAAGCCTTACCTCTGAGATGCCAGGCTCTGCTCGGTGTTAAGTGAAATTGTCTGCAGCTCATTAACATCAAAGCATTTTCTCCACTGGTCTGGGCAGCTCAGTAGTAACCAGCAGATGAACCAGAGAGCAGATACGCTCTCTGCTAAACTTTGCCTGCAAACAATTAACATCAAAGGGGAGCCACTGTGAAACAGGGGGAAAACAATGCTTCTACTGCAGTGAGCCTCATATTTAGTGCGGAGCAGGGAGAGGCCAGAGCCCCAGCCCAAGGCTTCGTGCTGAGGTGTCTGCAGGAGCGAGCAGAAGAACGGCCGCTGGCAGTATTGCCCACAAATGTGCTGCATTCACTTTGGTTTGAACAGAGCTCCCCAGAGCTGTTTGGAGCAGCGTGATACAGACTCTGGTGTATTACAGCCCAGCCAGCCTAGTTTCAGGATCAACTTGGATCTGCTGTCACCTCAGCATGCCTGAGGCTGTGTCACCACATTTGCCATCACTCTTGAAGACTTTCCTGAGAACAGTTCCACAGTGCTTCAAGCCCCTCTCTACTCTTCTGAGGTCTTGACTAGTGATTCCAATGCTTCTGCCTCTTTCTAAAGCGGACTTTGACCCTCTATTTGCCTTTCCTCACAGGAAGCCTATGGATTTAAGCCATTTTTTTGGCTGCCAGACCATTCCCTTCCTCTAGCTCTCTAGTTCATGCCTTCCTCATCTTCTTCCTCTCTGGTCTGGCAGTGGATAAGAAAACCAGGCTGCTGGTATTTACCACACTAGCAGTGTGTGATTAGCGGTGGGGAACAGGAGGGACTTGAAAACAAATTAAATCTCTGTCTCACTTTCTGCTTGTTTGACCACAGCTCTAACATGCTGCAGCTGCAGGTCAGAAGCTTTTTGTCAAGTGTTGCACCAGCACAGAATAGAAACATGGGGCTATCTCAAAGAGTTTGCAGTCTAAACATTGATCTAGAAAGAGAAGATTGCAAACAACAATGACAACAAAAATGCCATTATGCCAAATGGTGCCTCTCTGATAATAAAAGCTGGGGTCACGATTACAGATGATGCAACTACAGCGAGATGTGATCAGCCAGCACGTGCTTCCTTCCTGCCAGCTCTTTCAAGGGAGTGCTCACTGCCAGCCACAGGCAGGGCAGAGCGCTGCAGGGCACAACCGAAACAGTCAAAGGTTTGTGAGTCAAAGTTGTAGGAGGTGACTTTCAGGCACTCTAGGGCTAGGTACTTTCTCCAGAAGGCAGGCACACTTTGTGAAAAGCTCGTGCAATTCTGTCAATCAATGCACTGACAGATTTCTAATATCACCTAGGCAAGAGCCAGACCATTACAGAACTGTGGGAATTCGTCTTGTCCATCCTAGAAAAAGAAAGGCATATGGAGGCTATGCACAGAATGGTGTTAGGATAGAGTAAGGGTTAAAAGCTGCAGGAGCAAGATGACAAAACTGCTTTGAACTGGAGATTCAACAATTTAAGACCAGCCTCATATGCATACCTGGGCCATCTCTGTCACAGCAGGGATGTGATCTAAGGGCAGAAGAAACAAGGGGTTAATGACAGCTCAATGGCCAAGGCCACGCTGCCACATTCATGAACACTGGCCATTGAATCTCAGGCTTCTACGACCAGATTGCACCAAACATATGCTGTGAGGATAAGGGGCTCCAAATGGCCCTGCACCCTACCAGAGCAGGCCTGGCCAAACTCTCGTTGCTTTACAGCTGCAAGGACGCAAGCTGAAAGTTTTTCCTGCAATGAATTAGAAACCATCCCCTAATTTTGTGTTAATTAAATTAAGTAAATTAAAGGCCAGCTAATAGCCTTTTCTTTTGCTACAATTTAGCTCCAAACAGCTCTGTCCCTTCCTTGAAATTTATCTCCTTTCTCCACTCGAGCTGATAGAGCAATCATATTTCATCTTTGCTTTCTCTCTGCTGGACAAGCCAAGCTGAGCTGTCCTGGTTTCTTTTCGTAAGGCAGGCTTCTAGCTGCATGCACCATGAGCCCAGAGCTCTGAAGCAGGATGGACAGCATATCCCAGATGCGAGTGCTCCTGAATGGGGCACAAGCACTTCTCTGTCTCCACGGGAAGCGTCACCTCCGGGACATCCTACTTCCAAATTTGCATGCCGCCAGCATTGACCCCTCTGCCTTCCCAGCTCCCTAATTGGGTGCAGCTTGGCAAGGTCACGGGAGGGAAGGTAATGATGCTGGTGGCTGGGGTGGGGAAAAGAAGGTCGTGACTCCTGAGTTTCATCTCTGGCCTTGCTGCTTACCCAACTGTATTTCTACTTGACAGCAGAGGAAGAAGACCGTCTGCTGAAAAGCTGTGGCTGCAAATCCCTCCCGCCTGCTTTTCTAGCGTAACACAAGGCGAGGTGTTTCCTCTCTCATGACAGAGGAGTGGACAGCAGCAGCTGGTCCTGCGGCAGGCTCGGGGCAGGATCTGGGTTGCAACATTTCACCGTTCCAAGCTCAATGCCCCGAGCATTCATAAAGCTGCTGCTCTCCTCCTCCTGTCAGCGCGAGTCCGGTGCGCTCCGGAGCCCAGCCACCAGCACTGCACGGCACCCAGCAGCACCGACCCTTCCCCGGTCCCTCCAGCTGCTCACCGCGCGCCATCAGAAGCTGCGTTACCCCACCACCCACCCCTAGAGCGCCTGAGCTCACGCCGGAGCAGCTTTTTACTCGTGGCCTAAGGCTGAAGGGCTACAACGCAGGCGGCGGTCGGTCGAGGAGCCACGGCTGCCAGGAGGCAACCGAGGCACGTCTCCTTTTGGTCGTGGGTCCGGCTGCTTTGGCCGCCCTCAGAGCGGGAGCGGAGATTTCAGTTCTCGGCAGAGACGCGCGCGGCCCTGGGGGCAAGACGCCCCCCCCCTCATTGACAGGACGTCCCCTCGGGGCCGGGACTTCCCCTCAGGATGAAGCGTCCCCCGTGGGAGCGGCGGCCCTTCGGCATGGGGACGCCCCCGCGGCTGCAGCGGCGACCGCCCGCCGTCGCGTCCCGCGGACCCGCAGGGCCGGGTGCGGCGTCCGCTCGGGACGCGGCGCGAGAACGGCGCCCCCCCGCGGGGCCCGGCGGAGCCCCTCACGTGCGGGCGGACGGCGGGAGGCCGCGCGGGAGAACGCGCAGGCGCGCGGCGGGAAGGGGCCGGCGGCGGGGCGGGGCGGGGCGGGGCGGCGCCTGCGCGGCGCGGGGCGGCGGGGCGGGCGCCGAGGGCGGGTGGGCGTGGCGCGGCGCGGCGCGGCGCGCGGCCCTTCCTTCCCGTCCCTGCCCCCCTGGCCGTGCCCGCCGCCGCCCCCACCCCCACCCCACCCCCGCCCGCCGCCCAGAAGATGGCGAGCCCGTGCGGGCGGCAGCAGTGCTCCATCGAGAGGCGCGGCGTCCGCCACCAGCTCGATTCGTGGCGACACAAGCTCATTCACTGTGTAGGTGAGGGACGGGCGGCGCGGCGGGGAGGCCGGGCCGGGCCCCGCGGCGGCAGCGGCGGCGGCGGCGGAGGCGGCGAGGGAGGAAGAGGAGGGAGCGGCGGGGCCGCGGCCTGCGGGCCCTCCCCCGCTCTGCGGGCCGCCGCGAGGCGAGCGGCGCCGGGCCGGGCCCCGCCCTTCGGCGGGAGGGCGCCGCCCGGGGGTCCTGCCCTTTTGTGCGGCCCCTGTCAGCGCCGCGCCCGCTCCTCCCCGCCCGGCCCGGCCGCGGCCCCTTCAAACTTGTTTACGGGCGGGCCGGGCCGCGCCCGCCGCCGGGGAGCAGCCGCTGTCAGTGGCCGGGCGTGGGGCGAGGCGGAGGGCGGAAAGTTGCGGGTGGGCGCGCGGAGCCGCGGCTCAGGGCTGTGTGATCGCTTTCCTCCTTTTTGTTTTCCTTCCCTTAGTGTTATTTTTTTTTTCCCCCTCGTATTTTTTTTCCTTCTCACCGGGCGCGAACCCTCGTTTCATTTTTTACGTACGCGAACGCGGCCCTAAGCTGGCGGTGGCCGCTCGCCGTAGGTAATCTGTAACGACGTTTGCAGATTCACTTCTGTTCCTTGTGCGCAGTTAAACCTCTTATTGTGGGTCGGCCCCGCGCCCTGCTTCATTACCGAGGATTTAAAGCACCATTTTTGGTTCCACCCGGAGCTGTGAGTGCTGCCGTGCAGGCACTGGGCTCCGTACGTGCCTTAGTTTATGTATATGGACCTGTGCGTTAGGTGCTTGTTAACTCCAGATTAATAGAAGCAATTAGCTTGCATGGAGCATAAAGCAATCCAAGGGCAGCCTTTGCCTGAAGGTGTTGGGTCCTCCTTCCAACCGGTTATTGATGTTTCTAGATCCAGTTTGCAGGGGTTCATCTTTATTCGAGCTGGTAACTTTGTCCTGTGAGGTGTTTTTTGTTGGCTTCCCTCTCTGCCTGAGCCGGATTGGCTTTACTTGTGTCTCCTTTTCTCATCTCCTCTTACCTTGCTGCTGGGATCACCTGTTCTCTTCCTTTCTCAGCTCCCTGCTTGCAGCATGTCGTCTCATCTTCCCCTCTGTCCTGCTGCTTTGTGCTTGGGGCCGGGAGCCTCCAGCACTGCTGTCCTGTGGGTCGGAGCCTAATCAGAAAGCTGTGAGAAAGAAAGAGGGGACAGAGCACTTTCACCCTAATGCAAGGTCCCCAAACAGCAGCTCTGAAGCGCAAGAATTGCCTGTTCATTATGGTGCTGCTTGGGAAAATCATGGGTAGCTGAAGAAGTTGGTCATCTGCAGACCTGAGGAGAACACGTTGTTGAAGTTCTTAGCAGCCCTAAGTATTAAAACTTAACATCAGTGCATGCTCCCCATCATTCAGACACTCCCTGTCCCACTTCCCTGAAGCCATTTAAATCGCCGTCTCCCAGAGGAGCTGCTTTCTCCTTTATCCCTTCTCTGCACTTAAATTTGATATACATTTGTTTCCCTGAAAGATTTCGCTCTGAAAGTCCCTCTGTGTGCTTAAACAAAAGGTGCTGCAGACACTGCTAAGCACAGACTTGCTTGGGATTTTCTTTTTTCTTTTTTTTTTTTTTTTGAGATAAAGTACAATAACATTTTTAATAAAATAAAGTCCAAAGTTTAACAGTGCTGTGTGACTTTTATCTTGATGGCACTGTGTCATAAATAGTTTCAGCCTCAAATTGATCAGCTTTATGAGGTCTTGGGACCTGCCCTGTTCCTAGTATAGATCTTGCATAAATTGTTTGATGGTAGAAGTGTGTTAATTGTTACCTATTTTTGTTGTTGAATTTTTTTTTCTTTTTCTTGGAGTTACTGAACGTTTATTGCACTACTCCAGGATACACAGATGGAATTATGCTGTTATCTTAACTGCTTGTTCCAAATACATCACTGTCATTTTAAGTGGGTTTGGACAATGTTCTTTGAGGCTTATGGACTGGCCTGTTAAATGTGTGATGTGTTTTTTCACCTTGATCATTTTTTAGAAGTCTTAAGAATTTCTCCCTGAGTGGGAGAAAAAACAAAGGTAAAAATGAGGAGGTAAGGAATGGTAAAATTCTTATTCCTTCAGAAATACCAATTGCTATCTAGTTCTGAAAGTAAATCTGAGATGCGTGGGGTTCTTTGAGTTAGCAGAGTTCCCTGAGAAGTGATATTTTAGCGCACAGCATGGTAGTCAGAAATCGTGAAGCCTGTGCATTGAACTAGAGCATTTGGCTATAAAATATGTCTGAGGTAATTCGCTGTTCCCTCTTGTTTCTGCAATAGGCTGCCCTGCTGTGCTGGGGCTTCGTGACAGTTTGTCCAACTGAAGTTGTGCTCCAAGAGGAGCAGAAACACAGCGGGATTGAAGAATAGCCTTTGCCCCCAGCGAGCCAATTCAGGGAGTCTGTGCTAGCAGAAATCACCATCTTCTGGGGGAAATAAAGTCATCTGCCAGCACAGTGCTCTGAACTGGCTTGCTGAGGGGCCAAGCACGTACCTGTGCTAGCACAAGGATGAGGGTGAGAATGCATGGCTGATGGAGGGGAGAAGAGTGAGAGCACAGAGGGAGGTGCAGATCATCTGGAACTGTCACACGGTTGTGCCAGCACAGTTTTGGTGGGAGGCAGCTTAAGGAGCTGCTCTGGCTTCAACCTCCATTCCTCAGTGTGCATTTTAAGCCCCCATTTTCCTTTCTTTGTGGCTGGAGATGAGGTGACTGGTGGGGTACGTGGCGGTGCAGAAGAGGTTTCTCAGCTCACTGTGCAGTGCACTGGGCTGTCAAAGCACACAGTAGGGGTGGTGAGCAGCATCTCGATGCCTTCTTAGTATTTTGATTCTGGAGATGTGATGTACCAGGTGATAACTGCTCTCTGGTCCAACCCCAAGTGTTAGTGTGTCTCTCTGTGTCCAAAAGCAGATGCCTAGATGTGAATGTATCTTGTGCTTTTTCTTTTTTTGTGTATGTGTCTATTTCTCTCCAAGCCTCCAGTCACTTGCTGTTCAGGCACTTGCTGAATTGGAGATGGATGGTGAGGTCACATCACTAAGGAGCAGAGAGTTTGATGGCAGAGAGAACCCACAGATTCCTGAAACCCTCCTGACAGCTTTTAGGCAGGCAGTAATGGCATTGCAGTGCTGTGTGGTTACTAGAGTGATAGTTTCAGGTATTCGCGTGCATTTCTACTAGCTGGTGATGCTTGGCCCTTTGTTAAATATTAGCTGTACTCCTAGAGACGCCCTGACTGAATTACAGCTTGTGCTGGGGGGAGGGAGAAAGGGAATGTGCTGGTTCTCCTTAGCTGTGATGCTGGTTTGCGTAACAAAATGATCTAAAAGGAAAACCTGCAACACCCGCGTTGGGTTTCCAACCATCCTGAACTCTGTCAGTGTTTCATTGAGAGATTACTTCATCTTATTTTGACAGCTTATGCGTAAAGTCAGCTGAACAGTTTCCACTTAGTTATTTCAAACAGTCGTTGCCGGCGATATCCTGCAACCCAAGCACCCGAATGGTGCCTGTTCCTGGACGCCCGTTTGTTCAGTGTGGTCTTCCAGGGCTAAGGGCAAAAGTGTGGACTCCGTGGAGGAAATATGATGTATCAGGAAGTATTAGAAGTTAATATTAATCGAGTGAATGTGTATAACAGGGAATAATTCTGAAATCTTTATTGCATTTCCTTATCTTGGTGATTAGTTGGGTTAGTTCCAGCCGGTGTTCTAGATGATAGAAACTGGCTGCAGCTTCCAAATTACGGAGCAGTTAGCCCCATTATCTCGCTGGTTTAGAAGCAGGCTTGAAGCTCCGGGTTTTTAGTGTAGTTGTAGTTCAAAGGGCAGGCTGTATTTCTTTGATCCAAAATAAGAAAGGTTATTATAACCCTGATGGTGGTGGAAAATAGCAATAAAAACAAGTTAGCAGAAATCGGGCTGAAGTAAAAGTTTAAATATAGGGCCGATCTGCACTGGTATCTGTCTCCGTGCCCACAGCAAATGTGTAAGTGGTGCTGTTTGCCTTATCTCAACCTGCATGTAGTGTCGATGCAGCTTGTGGCAATTTGCATTAATATAAATCTGTTGTACAGAAACTTTACAGTGTAGTAGCTAAAGGCTTGTGTGAGAAGATCTGCTCTGTGCACGTTTTTGCCTGTTTGCAGTAGGAATGCAGGGATGGAGAATTACTCTTCTATGACAGTTATGCCAGGAAAAAAAAAAATGAGGCAGCTGTCATTTAAAAATAAAAATCTTTAGTTAAAAGGAATGAAACTTACAGCTTGATATTTAGTTCTACTTTAAATGCTCAGGGAAGGATGGTGTGCATCTGAGAAGGTGAACTGCGGGGGGCGAATCCAGATCTGTTTCAGATATCACTTCTGATTCTCCACGAATCGCTTCAGGTTTACCCTCATTTTTCTGTTTGTAAATGGGGAATAAGTTCTGCCCTGCTAGGGGCAGTACCAGCCAAACCAAAGCATGCTCGAGAAGTCCTGATGGTCGCTTTGTGTGGTGCCATCTTGCATTCTT